CTTCTGCTATTAATGATGTTGCTTCTGCTGTTGATGATGATGTTGCTTCTGCTTCTGCTGTGAATGATGTCAGTTCTTTTGATGATGATGTTGCTGTTAATAGCGTCGGTATCAATGATGCAGTTGAGGATGATTGTGGCGTTGTTGTTGATGATGATAAGGTTATTAATGTTGTTGTTGTTGTTGACGTTGATGATGATGATGTTGTCGATGACGTTGTTGGTGGTGATATTGAGGAGGATGTTGATGTTGACATTTTCGTTTTCATTATTGTTGTTGTTTTTGCTATAGGTTTTTTTGTTGTCGTTGAGGATGTGACTTCACTCTTCTTTCCGTTTGGCATAATTACATTGTCAAAAGATGCCTGTTTTATTTGATCCTTCGTGATTTTAACTCCTGTCATATCACTGTTTGAAAAGTGTGCACCTGTCAGATTTGAGTTTCCAAAATCTGCACCCGCCAGATTTACACCATTAAAACTAGCACAAAGTAAAGAAGAACCATCAAATTTAACGTTATCTAATCGTCCTCCATCAAATGATACACCATTTAAATTAACAGATGAAAACTCCCCATTTGACATTGATACTTGATCAAAAGAAATGCATTGTAAATTCAACTTATTTAATACACCAGTTTCACTAGCTAAATGTACATTGTCGAAGTTTAACTCATTCAAACGGATGATATCATCTAATTTTGTCGTTTTACATCCATGAGTACAATTATTTCTGCCAATTAATTGCTTTTCTTTAAGAAATTGTATAACATCTGCATTACGTATTGTATCCCATTGACGATGAGCTGCACGATAATATGCATTTGCAAATGCCCATGGATTTTTTATGTCATTGAGATAATCATCTTTATCTAATTTATAGATATTATTTAAAAATCCATCATAAAGTGTTTGTTGTCTTAGTTGTGTTGATTGTTCCAAATCAAACTGTTGTTTTTTCTCAGCTTCCCGTTTTTGTTGTTCAGAGCCAATTGATGTATAAATAGCAAGAGCTATGGGTATAGCGACTGAACTTATAATAGTTAATATGTCTTTAAACGTGAAATGCCAAAACGATCGCTTGTTAATATTCACCATAGTCTCAATCTGATTTCAGAATGAACAGTAAAATATTGTGGTTTGTTCGAATGTTAAGAAACCACAGTTGCTACTCTTAACTAGTCTCTCTCTCTTTTGCCGTTTCTCTCTTATTTAACAAGATATTAAGTAACAGTTTTAATTATATTTTCAAAATCAAATGTTACAAAAAAAGAAATAAGTGGGTAAATATTCATTAAAAACACAACAATAATTAAAAAAAACAGTTTCTTATTACTTTCGGTATACTGCACGTTGAATTTGATATAGGGTATCTATGATATATAAGAACAGGTAAATGAAGATGCCTAGAGACGATAAAAGAAGAAAACTGATACTGTTGATTTTAGTATCGGAGATTTCTTTGTATATCTACTTATAATACAAAATCATAGAACTTAATAAATTCTCCGAAACGATGAAGAATATATTTTGACAGTAAACTGTGAAATGATCTGGTCATATCTATTTCAAAGTTCTACAAAAAAAGAAAAGGAATACTCTGGACTTGATGAACTATTTTTTAATCAAATTCTTTGTTCCACACAGATAATTCTGAATAAATTTTTTTCTTCCCGACTTTTTTTAATAAAACGAATAAAATAGATTACAATGGAGAATGAGTTATAAACTCAAAAAATAAAATTTTTATACCATGCATACATAACAACATCAAATATATATATGATAACAATTAAACAAAAAAATAAGCGAGATTATAGAGTATGACGCTTGTAGAAAGAAAAGAAAAACGGCTGTTTCTAATTATATAATCACGTTTTACCTCGAAGTTCATTACTAAAGTGCAAACTTTAAGTATAAATAGAAGCGAATATAAAGTACATGTAGTTTTCAATAATCATTTTATTATATTTATCGAACTGAAATACTTTCAAGAAATGTTCCTCTTGGTCGTATAGCGTGCGTATCGAGTATCATTTCCATACTTGGCATAATCCGATTATGATTCCGATTATTAATCCACTGTTGCCATCGATTAATACAAACTTTCATTAATACATACACAAGTTGCCGTCGAAAACGTTCCGAAACACAACAATATATATAAAAAGATCCCTATCATTTAAAAAAATAAATATGATTTTTCTTCGTTTTTCTTTGATCAAGAAGTAATACTTACAGAATAAGTTGAATAACTAATTAAAAGTACGATTGTAAAAATAAGATTATTACGCGCTGTTTGTTCAGGACCTGTATTATGTTGATTTAGTAAATAGACAAAAAAAACTACGTAAGGTATTGTTGTAATTATAATAAACATAACATGAACAAGTGTCATTGCTGTTAGTTGTCGATCTCGACTTAAACGAACTATATTCATTTGTCGACTAATTAATGTACGAGCACTATGAAAAGCCAATATAGAAAATGTAATCATTATACTTATAGGTAAAAATCCTAGAAGAATTGGAAAATGAAAACGTGATGAATATATGGAAAAACTCAAATTGTTGATTGTACAAACACCAGAAGATGAATCCCAAAAGATCAAAAAGGAAATAGTATATATACTCCAGATAAAACAAGTTGAAATAACTCCATAATGAGCTAGCTGTAAATTACTGAAACGTCGATATTTTGTCATTGAAATATATTGATCAATAGTTGCAAAACACATAACTGTCATTGAAATAAGTGCAAATACTGATGCCATATATATATGTATTTTACAAACCCATGATATTTTTCTAATGTCAGTATTAAATCCATCACTGAGAATACGTATAAATAATGATATGATTAATTGACCAATGTTGATGGATGAAACAACAGTTAGATAGAATGCACAAGTTGTTTCTCGAAATGTTTTTAATGTAGTAAAAATAATAAGATTAAGTATTCCACCAATAACACCTAAGAGTAGAACTGACAAGCCAAAATAAATGGAAATTTCTTGTGATGCAAAATTTAATGCATCTTCAATTGAATTTGAAGTATCCATAAGTTTAATCCAATGAATATAAATGCCAGAAACGTATTATTATTATTTAACTATATTTTTTCAGAACAGCTTATTTTCTATATCTATATTTTCAACTGATGCAGTCATGATAAGTTATAAAAATGAGTACAAATTTAGAGACGTTTGATCTTTATTAGATATTATGATTCATTATCTTTTCTAAACTCACTGTCAGCGAAGTTATGCGTGTCAAATAATCATTTCTATGAAGATCAAAAAAAAAGGCCTCGTTATTTCATCTATTTTTTTATACACGCGAGACATTAATTAATTGCAAAATATCCAAAAAGTTATTTACCAAAAAAAAATATAATGCGTCATCAAAAGTGCACTTTCAAATAATATAATTATCATATTTTGTTAAAGGACATACAATAACTGTGTTAGATTCAACACATATGATAAAGATTTAATTCTAGGGTGTGGATCTTATCAATGTTTTCATTCATATCAGCAGAGATGGGCAAGTCAAGTCAAAAAGGATATATAAAGAGGTTTCAATGTACTTTTTTTTGTATTTTACTAGTCTTATTACAGAATCAGACTGTAAAAGATAAATATAATTAAAAAGGAGAGTTTTGCTAAAATTTAATTCCAAATAACAGGAAATTTGCATTTGAAAATTTTATTCAATAGAAGGATTTTTTATAATGAGTTTTGACTTAAAACATGACTTGACTTGTGAAAACGTCTGACTTGCCCATCTCTGCATATCAATATGTAAAATCCTACAACATATCCAGCAATAAAGCTAAAACAATGTTTTCTATGATTTTAATAAATTGAGATACATTTCTTTTATGTTTATTACAATAAAATCCAGAATATTGTATTCTTTATTGTTCACTTTTGATAATATACGATGTTCATGTAAGAATAAACTTCAACATATCATGTTTGAAAAATATACAATATGTAAAATAATGCTAATATGAAAACATCCATAGAAATAACTAGATCCTATACTGATATTTAAGTCTATATTCTAATTAAAATATCTTTTCTGATATATCATCAGCAACATATATATTCGACAAACGTCTGACACACAAATAATACGTTCATATTCTATATGTAATTAAATAATATGATACTCCGGATAAACTATATGAGAGATTAGAATAAGTCAAACTAATTAGTAAGTTAGACTCATTGAACGTTTAACACTGATTTAAATTAAAATGAAGAAAAAAAGTACATTATGAGTATATACATATTATGACTTGTATTGATCAGAATGAATCTTTTTCATTTACGACAAGGAAATTATAAAATTATTTATATTGAAAACTTATCATAATAATAAATAACCAATGAAAAGAGAAGAGACGATCTGTATATTTTTTTTTTCTTCTATGTAAATCATTTTCATATTAAATATTAAATCAGACAAAGAAAAGAAAGAAGACGATATGTCATTTTTGAAAGAAGTATCAGAAAACATCATCATGTCATCCTCATCAGTATTTACGAAGATTCTTAATTTCGTTATATCTTATTCCGGCTACAGTGGATACATCATATTTATATTAGGTGTGATTGGTAATGCAATAAACATTCTTGTTTTTACTCAATTAAAAATCTTTCGAAACAATCGCTGTGTTTACTACTTAACTGTTGAATCAATTTCAAGTTTTCTTTATCAATTTATTTCAATCAGTATAACTATTTCAACATTTATATATGAAGATGATGCTACAGGACATTCTCTCATTTGGTGTCGATTTCGATATATGTCAGCCCAAGCACTTGTACTTACTACACTCTATACAATATGTTTTGCTGCTATGGATCAATTCTTTTCAACAAATTACCGGTTTTATCTAAGTCAAATGTGTACAATAAAAGTAGCTCAATATGTTATCTATATATCTGTTAGTATTTGGATTATTCATAGTATTATATTTGGATTATTTTTCAATATTGAACCATCGATTGGATGTGTCATATCAAATCCTATATTTCTTCAATATGCAACATTTTTCTTTTATCCAGTTTTGGGTGGTTTCCTACCTATTGTAATCGCAGCAATTTTTAGTTTATTGGCTTATCGTAATGTTCGTCGTATAGTTCGTCGACAATTACCTGTTATTCGTCGTCGATTAGATCGACAAATGACAGCAATGGTTCTTATGCGTGCATTATTTTTCATTTGTTTGCAATGTCCCAATAATATTTATCGTATTTACATTACTAATTTTCCTAATATAAAAAGTGAAAATATAGAATATGTTATTGTACGATTAATTCAAGCAATCGTATTTTCTTTAGCTATTCTAAACTATTCGGTAAAGTTATTGTTTTTACCGTATTCATATTTATAATATGTTTGATTTATTATAGATCAGCTTCTATGTTTTTATCATTTCATCTTCACGTTTTCGCCGTCAAGTAAAATATGTATTAGTAAAAAAATGTTGGAAACGATGTATGCAACGGCACTATCTCACTAATAATCAAGTTGCACCTCAGAATGTAGAATCATTCAGTGCAAACATAGAAGTGGAAGAAAATATTTAATGGTTCATTGAAAAAAAAACATCATATTGTAAATGTACCTAGATCTGTATAAACAAGTGTTGAAAACGATGATAGATAGAGTAAATAAACAAACATATTTATGTCGTACATACTTAAATCACTTCACCTATGTCTCTGATTTAAGGTTAAATATAAGAGGAATATATCATGAATCTGAAACAAATATTGATATAGAGCAATAACATTAAAAAGAAAGAAAAATGACATTAAATCAAGATCAGTCGAAGTTTAAGTATTGTATACTACAGATACAATCATGTTGAAATGTATAATAGTATTATTAAGTATTTGGGTCATTGTCATAGGCAAATGTACTGGAATATCTAGTCCTATTGAACCATTTACAACTTATAAACATTCTACTGAATTACAAAAAAATATAGCTGATCTCTGGTGGACAGTTGATGATGCTGAAAAAGAAATAACATTTGAATATCATGTTAAGAGTACAGGATGGATTGCTCTTGGTATTAGTCCATGTAAGAATTTATACATCAAATTCTAAATTTGAATATGTTTACTCTTCGTTCAGCTGGCGGTATGAAAGGTGCTGATATCGCTGTTGGATGGGTAGAAACTTCTGGTAAAGTTTATCTTCAAGTATGATAATATAAACTTCTCTTCTACTATATTCATATTCATTACGATTTCTATAAATATTTAATTAGGATCGATATGCAGTAGGCAATACAAGACCAATACTTGATAATACAACTCAAGATTGGTTCGTTCTTCAAGGTCGTGAAAAAGATGGGTGGACAGCTATTCGTTTCAAACGTCTATTAGATACTTGTGATTCTATGGATGTTCCAATAAAAGTAGGAAAATATTTTAGTCTATATTCATATATATATAAAGAATCTTATCTTTAATTCAAAAGTCTGGTACTAATATTCTCATATACGCTTATGGACTTGTTGATCTTGATTCTAACCGATCAGAAATAGATATTACCTATCACGATACTCGACGAAATACTCGAATAATACCACTTCGTTCTTATGCTGATCCACCTTCAGATGATAAATTCAATGGACTTGATACATTTGAATTTCGTTTAAATAATGTTCGAATCTTTTATTATTATCTTTTATTTAAATATTTTATTATATTTTTCAGTATCTTGTACCATCAACTGATACTACTTATCATTGTAAAATATACAAAGCTCCAAATAAATATCCTGTGAAACGTCATGCAATTGCTGTATGTTTGTATTTTTATTTTTATTTTGTTGTTTAATTATTCTACGTAGCATAAAATATTAATCGATTCACAAAATACCGATCTTGTTCATCATTTGGATTTGTATGAATGTGATCCTATGGCTATATTCAGTGACGAGAAACTACCTGACGATTTATGTGATAACATATATGATGAAATTAAATTATGTTCATCGAATTTTGCTACTGTCTGGGCTGTTGGTGGTGATGTTGTAAGTATAAATAAAGCAATACTGTTCAATCAAATAATTATAATATAGATGAGAGAATTTCCTGAAGAAGCTGGTTATGCTGTTGGAGGAGATTATGAGACAAAATATTATATGATTCAAATGCATTATGATAATCCACGATTAAATTCAAGTGCGAAGATCATATATATATATATATGAGTTTGATTATTACTTTGATCTATTTTAGATCGTCGAGATAATTCAGGAATTCGATTTTATCTTGGTAATGAACTTCGAAAGCATGATTTAGGTTTTTTAACACTTGGTATTCGTGCAGATCCATTTGGTCTTGCTATACCGCCAAGAGTTGATCGTTTTATAATTGATTCTTATTGTCCTTCAGAAGCTTCTCGTGTATGTATTAGAAAATTTTAATTCAAACTTATATTTATTTATTAGAACTTTCCTAAATCGGGTATTAATGTTATTTTTGCTTTACCACATACACATCTTCAAGGTATTTTAAATTATCTCATAATTTTAATTGATTAATATTGATATAGGAGCGAGTGTATGGACAAAATTAATTCGAAATAATACAGCGATTCAGTATTTATTTAATGCTGAAACATATGATTTTAATTATCAATTTCAAAATCATTTACCGAAACCAATCAAACTCTATCCAGTAATTATTATACATATATGTATTTAATCCAGATAATTATCTTTCATATAGGGGGATTCATTTGCTACTCGATGTATTTATAATACAATGAATAAAAATGTATCTACTGTAGTAAGTTTGAGATTCTTCCATATTTACTATAGAAAAAAAATAATTTTGAACTATTTTAAGGGTGGTGAACGAACAAGGGATGAAATGTGTCTTCATATGTTTACTTATTATCCTCGTATGAATGATTTATATACATGTGTAACAATAAATGATAGATCGGCATGGTAAGATATTATGAATACATCTTCGTTAGTATCTGAATTTATATATGATGAAATATTAGAGTCTTTTTATTTAGATCAATTGATAATAATATAATAAAAGAATGGTTTCTAGCTAAAACATGGACATCTGAATCAAAAATTCAATGGCAAAATTTTTATAACAAAGCAGCTAGAAATGTTCTTTATGGTAGATCAGGACATTTTCGAATCGATAGTCTTCCTGTTTTACCAACATATGAAGATCTTAAACCTGAAGGTTGTAATCTCTAATCTTTCAATCTTTTTGCTATTTATTTATCAAAATGAATAATAAACATTTGTAATACTTTCATATTTACATTAGTAACATAAGACTTGATACTATTTTTTACCATCTTGAGGGTGTGGGCGTGGATATAGTAATAAATCAGCCATACCCTTAATTCAAAAGAAGTTTTAGCAGGTCTTTCGTTACTGATTGGAAAAAAGAAAAATTGATGTACCAGTCAGTTATTACATTGTATCTTGTCGTTCTAATATTAATAAATAAAAGAATTCATTGCATTTCAAAGAAAACTTATTATTATATTCGATATTTTCCTTTTCGATATTCGCCTTTTTGATAATTTTTTCAACATTTACCTTTTCGGTCTTTTCCAGCAAGATCCTACAAGCGTCGGTATCGATCGACTTTGTAATTCACATAGCTATATTTCGATCTTATCCGATCTTGTAGAAAGTTCTCGAAAATTCTCTTCAAGAATTTTCACAGATATGCTTACAGAAAGTTGATTTATGCACAGAGCAAACACTTTTGCATCTTACTGTATGTCAAGTTCAACAAACAGACCATTAATTCTTTTTTTTTATTAATCTAAGAGACGGCAAATGTAATTTATATTATTATAGAATAGTTAACAAATTTTTTTATGACTTTTATTCAGTTTTTGTATTCAAATGAGTACATTCTTTCTTTATCTAATAATTTTTAATGAATATAGATCATTAATTTTCTGTAGGACATTTAGAATCTTATCTTTGTTATTATGAAATTCATAATATGAATTTTATTATGAAAACTCTTTTCAAAGAATATATTCGAAAATGAACTTTTTTTAAATAAAAGTATTTCAATAAAAGAAAAAAAGATCTTTATTGTTCTGTTACTATCATAAAAAAGTAATGCTTTTTCCACATAACATGTATATAATATTATATCAAATTCAAATAAATATCTCTCTTTCTCTCTCTTTATATATATATATATTCATACAAGGAATCGTTGTTACATTTTGTTAATAATAGTATAAATATTTTCTTAAAGCTGTAATAGCCGATAGTAAATTGTTGCATGAATGATTAAGAAGATTACATAGACTGACAATGCATCAAGAATCTCTTCAGTTAAAACATAAAGATCATCCTAAGTCACATCTCGTATATTTAGAGCTATGATAAGTGATTTATACTTTATTTCAAATCATATGGAAACAATTGATATGTCACTAATAAACAATAATAACCTGTAGAAATCTCAATTTATATTAATTGTAAAGGTAAGATTATTCTATTTTCTTGAGATATACAAATGACTAAAATAAAATATATTTAAATATCCATAAAGTTTAGATCGAAATTCTTTCGACAGTATAGATTAAGAAAAAAACGTTTAAACTAATGAAATTTTATCAAATAATTGTTTCTATTCGAGGTATTTCATTATTTTATCTTTAATCTATGTTGACAAAAAAACAAATTTTTATTAATGACAGATAATCCAACTATTGTGATTTAATAATGTTTTAAATAGAATTAAATTTGTTTCTACGTAAAAGGCTTTTCCTCTGGACATTTATATTTTTTATTCAAACATTTTAATTAATGTTTAGAAACATTTATTCATTTTATTAATTGAATTTATATATATATTAAATATTCAAAATATATAATTGAATTCAATAGAGACTTTTATTATGATTAGTGATCAAACTAAAACAAATGGTTTTATACTTAGTTCAGTTTCTCTTGGCTTTAATACACTTGCATGTTTTATATCATGCATTATTTTTCTTATTATTATATATCATCTCTGTTATAATCATGTCAAACATGAAGACAAAATAACTATTGTTCTTTGTAGTCATATTTATTTAACAATTTTAATGTATTCATCAATATTATTATCAATGAATATTCGATCAATGCTGGGTGATTTGTATATCCAATCTTTTGATTCATCGTGGTGTATTTTTTCAGGGTATTTAGCTATTGTATTGCTTAGTATGTTATACATGAGTTTTCTAAACCAGGTAATTCGAAATAATAGAAATTAAAAAATTTATATATTTGTTTTTTTTGAATAATTCTAGGCATTTTATCGTCTTATTCGAATTGTTTATTCTCAAAATAGACGGTTTCAATCTGTAAAATTATATGCAATTTTACCATTTTTAGAAATAATAATACTAACATGTATTCTTCTATGTGTTCTTATACCTTTGAATGGTGTGACATATTTACCAAATGATCACTTTTGTTATCCAACATTCACAAATATTCCTGGTGTTGTTTCGACAGGAGTTGTTGCTTATGTATGTCCATTTTCTTGTATATTATTTATTTATACACGTATAACAAGATTTATTCATCAACAAGGAAATATTCCAACATTAATAATCAAACAACGACAATCTCGAGATTTACTTGTTATTCGACGTATTTTAATTATTGTTAGTTTATTACTTATTCTTGCAATACCTGGAATGACTCTTATACTTATGTTTATAATAACCGGTGAAGAGAATCCATTACTTGCTCGAATTGCATTGTTTCCAGTTAGCGCATCTCAAGCAGGATTGAGTGTAGCATTACTTTTTTCTATTCCACAACTGAAAAATATTGTTCTGAACTTTCAGAAAACAAGCACAGTCACGCCTGTTAATCGAGTTGTGCAAGGCGCACTACAAATGAGAACGATTACTGGTACTCAATAATTGTATATTGTTTACAATTTTCATAATGAAATCAATCTTAATTGTTTTTACTTTTTTAACATTTCTTATTTTTATGTGATTATGTAAGTGAAATTATTCTTGTTTCTCTATGAATATGAAATTACTATTGATTATTATTGTTGTAAGTATTGTTCGCAGTAAAATCAGTATATGTTGTGATACTTAGTTTTATATTATTTATTAATGTGTAAAAATAAATAAAATTACAGCACTAATTGAACTAATTTATAAAATATAATGATTTTGATACAAAAAAAAAGAAGAATAAATTTATAGGCTACAATAATACAAATGAATGATGATTATGTTTAATGTCAAATATGTCATCGAGTAAAAGTTTTACTTTATATTAAAGAATTTAACCTTCTAACCTTTTGAATATCATTATTATAAATAGTCATTTAATAATCTAAACACTATTAGCAAAAAATCCAGCAGTGATAATTAGTAATTTTTTAATTTATAGTATGGAGCTCAGCTCTCCCTCGGACAAAATCCTGGTTACGCCACTAATAATAATAAAGATTTTAATCAACGCCAAGCTCTTTCAGTATAATCTGGAGTCTCAATTCTTAAAAGTGCTCACAACATAATACCCATAATGGTATAGTTGATATCAAATAATGTTCTTATTTGACCCATTGCTGTCGTCATTTTATGAATTCAATGATTGCTTGTGCTTTATCATTTTTAATTGAATCGAGATGTGATTAATTCGAATTAAGACGTGGATATAACCATCGATGATTAAATATATTACTTTCTTCTCTCATATTCTTTTCAGTGTATTTTTGTGCTTATTTTCGTTAGACTCTCTACGAAGTGAATAGAAATATTACCACATTATTTTTAACAATATATAGAACAAAATTCTGAAAAAAAGAGTTTTACAGAATATGATATAAATATGTTGAAACTCTGATATCAGCAACACACAATATGAGCATGTGTCTTTCAACAGTACTCCATCGATATAAATACACTGAACTACATAGAATACAAATGATCGTATTAGAGATCTATGTTTAACAGAGTAAAGTACTCGAAACTCAAATTATTGATTCATTTATATAACTCTTCACAAAGACTTTGGTTTTTTTTCTAATCTTATTTTAGAATAAGATATTTGATCATGGAGATATATTACATTCAACTATATGATTTCTTTTCTTTATAAATATATAATTAAATACGATACAATCTGATGAAAAATTATTCTACATAAAAATTTCGAATATTAATCTTATATTATCAAATAATTTTCATACAGCTTTAACGATTTATCAAGAGTAGACAGCTGGCAAATATCCGTCATAATCTAGTTTGGATTTAAATAGTCAATTTATTGAAAAAAAGAAAAGAAAGGTTTCATATAAAACTATATCATTATTTGAAAAGGTTATTTTTATTAACTATACTCCATATGTAAAGGACAAACGATAATATTTTCGTTCTTTTATGATATAGATAAAAAAAACATTTAAAGACAAGACAAAAAAAAGAATAGACGCCATTGATAACTATATTTTTCTTTCTTATAATATATTACAATGTTGTTTTTAGATAATTTTTATTATTAATCATGAAATTAGAATTACTACCGAATGAATTATTACTTAATTTATTTGAATATTTAACAATTTATCATATTTTTCAAGCTTTCGATAATATTAATATTCGTTTTCGTACATTAATTTTAATTTACTGTCAAAAAGTGCGTCTTGATTTTCAATCAATATCAAAAACAAATTTTGATATTATTTGTAAAAAATATCTTCCATTATTCAATCATCAAATTCTATCACTTCGTCTTTCCGATGATGATAATACACCACAACAAATTAGTCTTTTTCTATCCTATGGTTTACAATTACAACAATTTACTCATTTACAAACAATCTATCTATCACATATTCATTCTTCATCTATACTTAATAAATTATTAACTGATTGTTTATATCTTCCATCTCTTACACATTTTACTTTAACTAATTGTCATATTTCAATCGATCAAACTAGTATTGATCATTTATACAATCAAATTTGGAGTTTACTAGAATTAACTTACTGCTATATAGATATTAATTTTTCGGATAGAAATTATTTTCCTAAACCAACAATAATATCTACATCATTGAAATC